AGTCCCAATGTGGGGTTTGAAGCCCCAACTTCCTGACTTGGAGATGCGAGTCCTAACAACTAAGCCAGGCTGATTGCGATGAGGGTCTCACAAACTGCAATACTGCTTGTTTGCTTATTTATTCTTGGTTTGTTTTGTACTATATTCTGCGCAGTGCTGAATCAAAGATCTAGCTTTGAGAAGCTACAAACGGTTCAAAAACCTGAATAAATATCAAAGAATATATAGGTCACCAGTGGTGCTTTAGCTTCAACTGTTCATATTAATACAGTTCTCTTACTGAATCAGAGAGATTACAGTAATGAAAGAAGCCACTCGCTTCATTTCTGGTTTCACCTTTGCTGATTTAGCTCCTCCACAGGAGCTGACTATCCCAATCTGCCCTTTATATTGTTGTTCTTCAAATATTTTGTCAAATTTCCTTTTAATGTGTCACGGTTCAAGTATCACTGACCACTTAGGGTCAAAGAAGTTAATAGGAATGTTATGGTTCATAACACGGAACCTGGAATATAAAACAATCTGCTTTTTGCGGAGCGTATGTACCAGCTAAGACGAGTAATTTGGAGTGAATCCCTATATTAATACCTGAGATGAAGGGATTCAGGGGTTAATCTCTCAGCAGGGAATTGACAAGCTAGTAAGGGGCGATTCTTTACATTTATATCCAGACAATTCCATTCATGAATGTGAATTCCTAAAATTAAAAGCTAAAGGAGGTAGAAATTATATCAGAAAACAAGAGTTTCGGAATGCACTGCCTCAGAATCAGCTGGCATGTAGTAAAGGGAGATAGATAGATGCTCAGGTGGTAAGGGATACAACAACAATAACAAAATTACATTTATAGAGCGCCTTTCACGTCGGGAGGACATCCCAAAGCGCTAAACAGTCAGATGTCGGGGCCCGAGCATGAGGGAGGGGTGGTGTAGGGGTGAGGGAAGGCAGAGAGGTGGGAGGGCGACCAAAGCACGATCAAAGAGAAGTGTCTTGAGACCGACCTTGAAGAGGCAAGGGAGGAAGTGAGGTGAAGGGACCGTGGGATGGAGTTCCAAAGTGTGGGGGCAGAGAGGCTGAAAGCCCGGCCACTAATGGTAGAGCAGGTCGGGCGGGAAACATGGAGCAGACTGGAGCCTGATGAACGGAGAGAGCGGGCAGGTTGGTAAGGAGTCAGCAGGTCAGAGAGGTAGGAGGGGGCAAGGCCATGGATGGCCTTAAAGGTGATAGTAGGGAAAAAATAAGGAAAAAGGATTCCAAAATCTGCTATGATCTACTGAAACAGTGGAATATTCTCAATGAACTGTTCCTGTGTCCCAGAATAAATGACAACTCTTTGTACGCACTTTGCTTTTTAATCATTTTCAGGGGGAACTGAAGAACATCTTGAAATATTACCAGTGTTTCCTCAAAGCTCGGATGCACAATTATTTAACAGCTGAAGATGCTTAGAGATTGCTAATCGCTCAGACTGCTGCTCTGTCTTCACAACCACAAATTGGCAGCTTGAAATGAAACTGCAGTCTTTCAAAAACTAGATCACTCAAATATAGTCTCTGCCATTATTTCCTATACTTCAAATATAGGTAAAAAGACAATTAGATGCTACTTCCCAGTTGTTTCACTGTTACGAAATGTGACTGCTCTCTAGATTGCCGGGAATTTTTTTTATATTTCCCTTTATTTTTGCTCAAGGGTGAAAATTGCTCATTTTTCTCCTGAGCCCTCCAGCTGACTTCAGCTCCATTATCACTATACGTCCTTGGCTGGTAGCCTGTCATCGTGCATTTCCTTGCCTATTACAGCTGCTGCCTTGTATGCAGAATGCAGTCCGTTCTTCCATATGGTTTATAGCTCACAGATTACTCGTTGGAAGAATTTTAAAAAAAATCACTTATCAAGACTGGTAAAGCCATTATGGGAAGAGAAGGATTTTTTTTCCTCAAAATTGTGGTATTTCAATAATAAATGTGAGCATTTCAGTTGACGCCGGATTATTTTAGGTGCTTACATAAACCTTTCAGCATTATTATGACATTCTTTCTCACTACAAAAACAACTTGCATTCCTATAAGCTCCCTTTACGCAGAATGGTACGAAAATGATGGCACCTCACACAGATCCTCTGGATGTACACTTGTACTGAATACAATTAAATACTTCTAAATACAAATACCATCATTCTTCCACATGTTTCAATTGTTGGTCAGTGCATTGTAGAAATCAATCATGGGGTAACACGACTTTGTGAACATCCTGTACTATTCTTTTAACTGTGAACGAAACACCAAAGCCTTAATATTTCACTTCATAGAACACTGCATTTGGCATCGTACTCGGTCAGCTTGTGCAGGAAAATATTTTCAGAAGCAAATGCAGATAGCACAACACAGCACAGGAACAGAGTTAAAGTAAAACAGAATTCAGAATTCTATTCTTATGGCGAATCTTTAGCACCACAAGTTTACAAAGTATTTAAGTAATTGGCAAATGTTTATCTTAATTCTTTGCATATTGTTTATCCAACAATGATCCAATGCCAGAAGCTTTTCCTTCTGGCTTCTTCAAGATTACTCCCAAGCCAACTCATCCACTTCAGTGTAACTATGAAAGCCTACGCTATTCCACATACCATCCAATTAATGGTGCTTTCTGTACAAATTAACATCCCTCCATGGACTTGACATGCAGCTTAGTGTAACCATTGATGAATAGCCATCTAATCCTGTCCCTTTTGTACATTTATGTAAAACTAAGTCTTTCAGGCTCAAAATAAAAGGTTGGGGCCTACTTTGAAATATTTCTTAATAAGAAATCCCATTAGAATTTGTATTGACTGGAGAATCTCTGCACTGGAACCACATTTAGAAAGCAGTTGGGCATGACAAACCTCCGGTTACGAGAAATAGCCTCCATTTGCACAACTCAAGATTCTTTATAAAGACGCCCCGTTAAAACAGCACTGCAAACTAGTTTCCAATGGTGCTCCTGCAATACATTCTGCCAGACCTTTACCTTTGATAATAATAATCTTTGCATTTGATGTGGCGCCTTTCACGTCAGGAGGACGTCTCAAAGTGCTCCACAGGATTTTCCTGTGACGTATAGTGACTGTATTTTGTAGATACAATACAATTTACAATGGTACAGCGCCTTTCATGTCAGGAGGATGTCTCAAGGCGCTTCTCAGCACTGGTTGGGCATAAGGTTGGCTGTGGGGCCGGTGGAAGTGTACATCAATGGCTTCAGCTGGCTGGTTACTCGAGGAGAAATCTACATACAATGCGGTTTTATCACCAAAGGGAGGGTTGGACGAAATGAGAAATCTCTCTCTTCTCAACAGAATGGTCCCGGCAGGCACATGGTGAAGTGTTCAGTGAACACTGGAATACATAATGCAAGATCTGAGGTTTTTACCCAAAGAACTGATCCATTTCTCAGTGATAATTCTGGGAGACACACAATGGGTTGTGCTCACTGTTATCAAAAACACAGGTTTTTGCAATCCAATTGACCTCTAGACTCATGCGACTGTAATTGGACTGCAGAGGAGGACAGGTGGCTGACCCTATTATATAACTAAATATAGCACCTTTCATGTCGGAAGGAGAATTTACTGTAATATGTAGAGTTTGTGTATTTCATGGGCAAACACAGCAGCCAATGAGCGCTCAGCAGTGTCCCACATCATTAAGTGAATGATTAATTTTATCTGTGGGATTGTTGGCTAGAATATAGCGGTAAGAAAAGGCAAGGCCCTCCATGCCTTGCCCCTTCCTATCTCTGTGACCTGCTAACCCCATGTCAACCTGTCTGCTCCCTCCGCTCAACCCTCCCTCCGACCTGCTCCACATCCTCTGCTTGGTCTGCCTCATCGGCGGTCGGGCCTTCAACCTCTTTGATCCCACCCTTTGGAACTCCATCCCACAAACCCTTTGCCTCGCTCCCTCCCCTTGCCTCCTTCAAGGCACATCTCAAGATGTTCTTCTACAGAGCCTTCGGCCACCCTCCTACCCTCCCTGCCCTCCACTCTCCCTGATCCCAACACCCCCCCCCTCCACTCCCCACTCGCGTACAAATCCCCGACTGTCCAGTACCTTATGATGTCCTCCTGATGTAAAAGGCGCTATACAAATGTAATACTGTATTGTGATACTGGGAAAAACTCCCTTCTCTTCTTGAGTGGTGCCATGGTATCTTTAACAAACACCTGAACTGGCAGGTGAGACCTCGGTTTAACATCTCATCCAAAGGACAGCACCTCTGACAATGGAGGGCTCCGCCAGGAATGCATTAGAGAGTCAACTTAGACAATGTGAGTTCAAAATCCTGACATAGGACATGAATGCAAAATCTTCTGACTCCAAGGCAAGAGCGTCGCCCACTGTGCCAGGCTGACACCATATTGCGTCATCTCTTGCAACACAAGTATTTAATAATAATAATATAATAATAATCCTTGCATTTGATGTAGCACTTTTCACCTCTTCTAGACGTCTCAAAGCAGGACTTAAATAAATGACATTCAGGCAAAGCCAAATGTGAGACAGTGAGTGTGTCAGTATGGGAGGGAGGGAGTCAATAAGCAAATGCCACTTTCTGGCAGAGAGAAAACTATAGCACAACTTTAATTTCAGAAACACTCAACTGTCTCTGTGGTAATTAAGAAAGTAAACTTGAAACAATACTTTCAGATCCATCGAAGCAGTAGACCAAAAGAAAATAGGTTTAAAAACATAGCTCAATGCTGTGATGGGAGACTGCAGGGTAGGTGTTCTGGAGGGATGGGATCAAATGGGCCAACGGCCTTCTTTATCTGAACTAATCTTGCGAACCTGTGACCTAAACCTTTAAAAGCCCGTCTAAATTTAAGTTGTTTCCACTGAAGGTGATGAGTTTTACTTTTCTTTGTTCTATCAGTAACCTTTGACCAGCATACTAGGTTTGTAACATACAGTAATTCCCACTAAATGGCAAGAGGAGTGACATGAAGCAGCTCTTACCTGCAGGCTCCTCCTGCGAGCTTCCCATCTCTATTTCTGAGACCTGGGGCTCTGGCTGGCTATGCATTTCACTGTCCACAGGCGTGTCTGGCAAAATAAACACAAAGAGCTTTAGCTTCAAAACCTGCCTTAAAACCTTTTTCTTTGACTGTGCTTTTGGCCACCTTTCCCTCCCTTCTGCCCCCACCTCCTGTTCCGGCTCCCGATCAGCCCCATGAAACGGTTTGAGACGCAAAAGACTCTATGCAAATGGAAGCTGTTGTTAAGCTGGCTCTTACCATCCACCTGACTGTCCATACACACATCAGCCGATTTAGATTCATCGCTGTGACTTTCTGACGGTACTAAAAAAAAACACAATAAAATTAGTCAATCAGACAAAATATCTCATTTCTTTTCCTTGCTGCACGCTTACTGCTTCCATTTCCATGCGGAAATCTGATGACCAAACATGGCTTGATTCTCTCACTTTCTTTCTCTGCATAAAATCTTATACAGAAAGTCAGTATGGCCAGTTTTACTGGACAGGCAGCCCTTGTTAGTCTAAACTTGTCACTTCATCGTTATGAAGTCCAGATATAGAGGTCCATCGTGCATTTTCTCCTGGTGTCCTGGCCAACAATTGCCCAAATAAAATTAGTCACTCCCTCCATGGCTGTTTGTGAGACACTGTTGTGCATAACTGGCTGCCGCATTTCGCAAAATACACAGTCAATCCACCTTACAGTGTATTCTGTGAAGTGCTTTGAGACACCAGGAAATATTTCTTTAACAAATTTAACAGCAATTTTTTTTGTTGAAAGAATTATTACCCCGGAAATCGATCCACCAATCGACTAACAACCGGGTTCCTACTTACTGCTAGGTAACCAGAAATGTGTGGAGTAAGGAAACTTGCCTAAGGTTTCGCCCCGCCCAGGAATCGAACCCGGGTCCTCTTGCTTGCTAACGCAAGCTCTGAGACATCATCCTACATGAAGGGCGCTATATAAATGTAATTTGTTGATGCTTAATACATGACTCTTTTTTAAAAAAAACATAGCACAATGTTGCTCAGGCACACATCCCTTCCTATTGAGCAATGAATCCACCAGTTGGAGGTGCGGAGTTTAAGCAGCAGCTGCTTCACTCTCTGCCAGACAGTTTATGCAGATAAATCACAATGATGTGCCGATGAATTTGTTGTAAGGATCACTTGAGGCAGTGAACAGCATGGATCACTGTGTAGCTTAAGGCGATGTGAAAATTGACTGGGTTCAGTTGACGCCCAGTGTTAGCACAGAGAGGGTTGCTCAGTCATTTAAAGAATTAGTAAGAAAGATCAAGAGGAGACCATTGTTTACAAGTCTGAGTGGGTATAATTTAATATAAAACTTTCTAATATCAAACTTATAAGAAAGGAACTTACACAACCCTTTTGTTCTGCTGAAAGCTTTGACACACAAAATTAATCTCATAAATGCTTATCACCCAGCACTTTCAACTCTCACCTTTATAATAGGAATAATGATCCTTGCATTGGATATAGCACCTAATCACGTTGAAATATCTCAAAGCACTTTTCTGTATTTTGTAGGCGAACACAGCAGGCAATTTGCACACAGTGATATCCCACAAATAGCCAAGAAGTGAATGACCAATTTTTTCTGGGGGATCGTTGCCCAGGACACCAGTAGAAATCCCTCTACATTCTCGTCCTTTATTCATTAATGAATTGCTCTCGTTGTAGTTAGCCTGACATCATCTGAACTTAAGCGATTTACATTGTCTTAAATCACAGTGCTCTGTGCTGTTCATCATGTTGTGTGATCCTTGTAACAAATTCAATCTGAGGTAGGAAAGGGCGCTGTCCTTTATACATTACTTGATGTGTTGTAAGAATCATTTTGACTAGTTTAATATACTGAAAGTCCTTACAGGGTGATTCCATAACATCCTCTCTCTGCTTTGGAGAACTTTCTGTTTTGGCATCTAGATTTTCTTCTGCTGATGCTGTAAAATAAAGGAGAAAAAATGCTCAGTTAATAATAATCCTTACACCTGATACGGTGCCAATATTGTGGAACTATCCAAAAGTGCTTAACAGAGAGTTGCTGTGAAGTGTAGCGAATGTGTATTTTTATAACATATAATAATCCTTGCATTTGATATAGTGCCTCATCACGTCGTTGAGGCATCTCAAAGCGCTTCACAGAGCATATTATAAAGTGAATTGACTGTGTATTTGTGGGCGAAATGCGGAAGCCAATTGTGCACAGCAATATCCCACAAACGGTCATGGATTGAGTGACCGTATTTTTTGGGGAGGGATTATTACCCCCGGAAAGCAATCCGCCATTCGACTCTTGCTATGGGATCTTTAACATCTATCTGAACAAGCAGATGAGACCTCGGTCCAATGTACCGTGCAATATTTGGCACCTGTTACAATCCAGCACGTTTACACTATGAATCCCATATGTGGCTTGAAATCACAACCTTCTGACCCCGAGACGAGAGTCCTACCAATTGAGCGAGGATGACACTATTTAGTAGCTCTATAAAATTACAAGGAATCTCCTTCCTCTTAGCCCACACACTGGTAGCAGACATGAGCGTTCTGAAATAAGGCTGATTCAACACTCTTTGTAAAAAAAATCAGACGTTTTCATTAAAGTACAATTTTGTCCATTAAACTTGCTCTGTACTGGGTTAGATAACGTGCAGAAATACAATTTGCTTCTGTACTCTACAACTCCAGAGGTTCCTGACATCTCTCCTGCTAATATTGTGATCTGTTAAAAAATATATATTTTAAGACGTTTCAGAAGAATTAGGAAAACAATTCTTTGAGATAAAAATAACAAGACAAGAGAAATGAATAATCCAACAACTGTATTTGTTCACTGAATCTCTGCATGACTTGAAAGACTAAAATGAAATCAAGTAAAAGAACACTCGGGAACTGTACTTCTGTTCATATAAAAATAGGCAGCAGTTTGAGCTCTGGAAGCTATCAATGTAAAGAGGTTGATGAGATGAAAGCTCCGGGTTAAACCTAAATGAAGAGATTAAAAGGTTAGAGTTGGAACGCTCCAGGGATAAAGGGATAAACTTATTTTCAATTATTGCAAATGTACCACTAAGCACAGTACAAATGCAGTGTTAAACGTCCACATCTGCACCACACAGCTGGATCAGACCACACCAAATGATTAGGAGATTGGACAAGGCTTGTTAACGTCTATCCTCTTGGAAGTTTGTAAAAGCCCAAGTCGCTGCAGGGAAGGTTATTCTGACAATATCTTGGGCAAGCAACACCAACTCAGTGCCAAAGATAGATATCTTGCAATTTACTCAGAATACCAGAGATGAACGGTTACAGTTATGTAAGACTTGAAATGTTGGGGCTTTTTTTTAAAAACATAAAAAAGGCAAAGGGCGAATCCAACAGATACTTTCCAAATTTTCAATTCTTTTGATAGGGTAGGAGAATTTTTTTTCCACACACAGAGTAACTATGATATGGAACACCCTGCTGTGAGGCCTTCAAGAGAGAACTAGATAAATACCTTTTTGCCTACAAAATATACAGTCGATCCAATTTACAATATATTCTCCGAAGCACTTTGAGATGTCTCAACAACATGATAAGGTGCTATATCAAGTGCAAGGATTATGATTATTATTTAAAGGAATCAACTACAGACGTCTGGGGAAAGGGCGACTGAAAGGATTGCTCTTAAAGGAGCTGTCAGCAGAGACATGATGGGCCAATTGACCTTCTGCGCCATAATGTTTCTGTATTCTATGGTAAATAGAGTGGAATTTTCATAAATCTGTCGACAGTCTAAAGCTGAGCTGAGTGAAGCTCAAGACAACACAAGACCTTATGATGGTATATACTGAGCTGTTCATCTCTGTAAAGCTACCCAAAAATGTGTTCTTTAAAAAGTAAATTGATAGCTTCCGCCACAGAAGTGAGCAGGACAGACTGAGCCTTTGAGACTTCCTCCCAACGTGAAAGTTGTTATTCAAAATGCAGGGATTATTATGTTTTCTTTACTGGGCTTCTAATTGAAAACATTACCATTCAGCCTGAGTTCTTTCCACTTTCTGTAGGAATGACTGAAATCTTGGAAAATAAATCTCCTCCTGACGCAAACTTTAGCTACTGTCACCAAAATCTGAACCGATGGCAAACAGTGCAAGTGGCAGCTTGTCTCCCTTATTAAGAATGACTGCAATATTTTTACGAAGCTCTTAGCAAGTGTGTTTATTCTCTTGTGGGCCATTCCTTCAGAACAGATAAGCGAGCAGATACGAGCTCCTAAAGAGGCTGACAGACTTTGGGTAACAAAGTGTGCGATAATCGGTTGTTAAGCAGTTAGTCAGTGGATCCCATGGCTACATAGGAGTAAACAAAATCTGAAAACTATCTCATCGTGGGACAACCTGCTCTTGGAAGTATCTCAGACAAGAAATCCCATTGGGGGAAACACACTCCTGCCTTTGTTCAAATGTTTTCTCCCAAAAGGTTGTTGGCATTCCCCGAATTTGCCAGTGGCTTAACTCAACCTTAAATTGCTGGCATTGGGGGAAACTATTTAAGTCAGGGAGAGTTGTCTCCTGACATCAGTTATCCTCTAGGACCTTTTAAGGAGCAGTGAGTCTGACAATGTGATCTTGTCAGCCCAACATCCCTCAATAGAGTAGATTGGGCACTTTTGTCCTAAGCTAGACAGAAAATTGAACCTGAAATTCTTTTGCCAATATTGTCCAGACATGATATAAGAATTAATAGGGATACAACAATGTTGGGCAGATGGTGTCAACATCCTTCTCTGTCAGCAGTAAAAGAGATGGACGGGATGTCCACTGCTCCTTCTGTATTTTCCATCATCTCGTGACCCCACAGATGTCAGCCACATATTGAAATTGAATTCCTTGCCATTGCTGAGCAATGGGATTCAGTTCATCCTGGGGTCCGTCCCTCCAACTCCCTCGCTCGCTCCCTCCCGCCCCTCTTGGAATCACATCGTCTGAGCTGACAATCCAATGCAGTGCTAGGGGAGTGTTGCATTGGCAGAGGTGCGGTCCTTCAGATGAGATGTTAAACCGCAGTCCAGTCTGTCTGCTCAGGTGGACGTGTAAGTTCCCTGGCGTTATTCGAAAAGAGAAGGGAGCATCTCCTGGTGTTCTGGCCAACAATCTCCCAAATAAAACTGGTCATTCACTCCATGGTTGTTTGTGGAGCATTGCTGTGCGCAACTAGCTGCTGCATTTCACTCACAAAATTCAGTCACTGCACTTACATAACTGTATAGTATGTCCTGTGAAGCACTTTGAGACACCTCGATGACACGATAATGTGCTATATCAAATGCAAGGGTTTATTATAATCTTTTCCTCTGCCAGATAATAGTTTGGAGTTGAAGAGATTCTGATAACAAAATGTTATTTCCTGCTTCCTCAAGTCCATGGAACACTTTTAAATCGTGATGATACGACGTCTGTACAGGGAAAATCAATCTTTTGCAATGCCAGACATAGCTCTAATTCTTTAGAAGCATACATTGGACTCCTGATAGACTTCATAATATGGGCAGAGATTGCCTCGCATTGAGGTAGGGGGTTATGATAGATCTCTTGTGGAAATGCTTCATGATGCTTCCCAATCTGGATAAAGATCTTTCCTAAACGGAGAGGATGGAAGGCATAAATCATACCCTCTACTCTGGCTGGCCGAGACGATCCATCACTTCTTATGCAATCTTAATTGCACTTAGAAACTGGTAAAGACAAACAACTAAGTGGAGGATTAGACTCAGGGATATTCTGAACTCAATTTGTATTGTAGCAGCGCCGTGAACGTTAAAACATTATCCTTTCAAAGAAAAGTCGGGTAAGATATGGAAATACGAGGAGCCACGTTATCCACTCTCGAGACCATTCATTCCAGGACCACCCAAAGAGACAAATCCATAACTTATTTACTGCTCGGGGCATCACGTTGAGCCACACTATTAAACCAAGATGAAACTGATCCATCTATAGGTTACAGCTGTGTTTGTAGTTTCGAGAATGTTCTTTGTGTTAACCAGACTGACCAGTAGTGACTCCATCTGTTTCAATTCATCTTTTATGGTCCCTGGAGACTTGCATCTTTTTTCAATGTCTCTGACATTGCACAGAATATTAATTTCTCAAGGATCAAAGAATGCAAAAATGGGTAGAAAAAATAAACATTTGTGAAGGCTTCTTGAAACGATGGAAACTAGGACAAGACTAATTGCTGCAACTGGTTCAGGGGGTTTGCTGTTGCTGTTTTTGTCTCTCCCTCCTACTTTCTGCCTTTGAGGTTTTAAGATCATTGCAATTTAGCACTGTATATATTCGTCCTTGTAAAATTATAACATTAATCCATGCATTTGATATAGTGCTGTCAAGATGTCTCAAAGCACTTCACAAGGTTTACTGTAAAGTGACAGTATATAATAATCATAATAATTGTTACATTTGGTACAGCGCATTTCATATCGGGAAGATGTCCCAAAGCACTTCACAGGATATACTATAATGTGCAGTGACTGTGTGATGAGAGTGAAACCAACTGAGCCAGGCTGACACTTCACTACATGGCATAATTAGTGACTCCTTCCAGGAACCTGAAGTCTGTCAGGGTGACCCCGTTACAACTCTGCCATGATCAATTTCTGAAATGAAATTCCCTGTGTGTCCATTATCACTTCCTTACAGTTACCAGAAATCACTATTAGCGATTGCAATTCAACAATGATGACTTTTATTCCGATTGCCAGTATTTTGTCTCCAATACAAGTTTCAAGTATTTCCTCTGAATACAGAAGCAAATAAGATGAACTGTGAACAGAGGCTTTTTATTTTCTGTTCTTTTTGGCTTCTACATTTGCGCACTAAAAACACAGTCACTACACTTAAAAATAAATCCCGTGAAGTGCTTCTAGGCATCCTCTCAACATGAAAGGCGTTAT